CACACACACACACACACCTATGCACAAGGTTTCTGTTTACACATCCAAGCAAGCAAAAGTCGAGCACCTCAACAAATTTGCTCGCATCGTCGCTGGTGCTGAGGAAGGTGCATCCAGCTCTTTGATCTCGTCCAGGAAATTTGCGAAGTCGTCCTGCTTATTTGCTGGTGGCTTCGAGATCCCACTTCTTGCACCGACAAAGCCTATCAGTTAAAGATTGCAGCAGCATCCGACATAGCCCTGGCATGCCCTGGCAGCCTGCCTTCCCGCGTGATCTGCCCCGAATGCTGCATCAACTTGCTCAAGCAATCGAAGCTCATGTCATTTCTCATGCTTTGAAAGCCGCGCTGGGTTCCGCTCCCGTCAACCGACATCCCCCGCGCAGGAAATCATGTTAAAGTTGGCCTCCGGTGCCGGTACTGCAGGTGTCTCCGCCTCCCGTTTAGGCCCAGCTCAGGCTTTGACAATTCGAACCACCTAACTGCACGGCTGCTGTCCCTATAAGAATGGTCTCATAAACATACTTTGCATACACATGTATAGCCAACTGGGCTTTTCGGTCAGCATCGCGCTGTGTAGTGGAAGATGTGATGGGTACTTTGTTTCATCGTTACTGCCGCCACCCGTCAGAAAACACATTCGCGGGTCCACTAAGCTGCCACAGTCTAAAGCAGACTAGGCTTGTCCGAAGATGATACGACCCATAGCTGGCAACAGCACAATTCCAGAGCAACCCGGTGCTCAAGTAGAAGTGATCTCCAATCCTCGTAATTCAAACTTCCGCCCGGAAGAAAAATCTGAATTCTAAAGCCAACAACGCTGAAACCCCTGAAACCCTAATCCAAAGAGCCTGGAGACCCCCATAGATACTTGCTCTTAAGACCCCAGGCCCTGTACTGCTGCCTCGGTCGCTTCGGTGGCCTTGGTGGCTTTGAGATCCTCAGACTGCTGAATGGGGTGTCGAACGAAGGTTCCATCGATCTCAGATGTTTGGAAGGGCTTGCACGCTTGGAGGGGTGCTCGAGGGCGACTCAGTAATTTGGCCCTGCAGCTCTTTTCCCTTTCTGGTTTCAGTTGTGCAGTGGGCATGCTACACAACTAATCATGCCCACTTGTGAAATGAAGGGGCGCATAGAAGGCTGCAGCAATCGTGGCCTGAGATAGACCGTCTGCTTCGGCTGGGTACGGCTCCAGCAACAACCTGAAACCTACAGGCACTGGCCCGTATCCTCCACCCGAAGCATTTCCCAATCGGTGTCCTGGAAAAGCTCCGTTTCGCTTCCGTCCTCCGAGCCTGGCATGCAATCATCTGCACAAAACTCCGGGAATCATGCGGCTACCAAAACTAGGACGAATAGACAAATCAACAAAGGCATGTATGTATGTGTGTATGTATGTACGTATGTATATATGTATGTATGTGCACGTACACCAATATCTAAATATCTGTATGCATGTGACCATCTATTCAGTCGCTTACATGTGCACACGTGTTAAGCTTGTCTCCTACTACAATACTGGTATCACAAGACCGTTCATCTATGTCTCGGGGCTTCCTTGATGCCACTCGTTAACTGCTTGAAACCCCAGGTTTAATGGAACATGCTTCAGCGCAAATCCTCAAAATGCCGGTGGGAAAGCATCTACAACAAAAGCCGTGAAGGTCTTGATCAACAACTCTTCCCACAAAGCCTGATGCCTCAGGATGGAACCCTAGTAAACCCTACCCCCCCCCCCGCCCAACCCTAAATCCTAAACCCTANNTTGGAGCTTTCCGAAAATAGGGGACCCTAATATAGCACCCTAAGTAATAGGTTCCTTATTATAAGGATCCCCAAAATAAGGTACCCCTAATTTTTTGAAACTCCCATATGGAGCTACAGTTTCAGTCACCCTAAATAATAGGTTCCTTATTATAAGGACCCCCAAAATAAGGTACCCCTAATGTTCGGAAAGTCCCACTTGCTCCTGGCCCGGCCTTCGTTGCCCTTCTCGGTCTCGACCTGCGATGCCCCGCCGAACCTGACAGGAAGGGACCTAGCTCAAAGGACCTCCTCTTTTCGGCTCTTGGGGGCCAGGCTTCTGGGAGCACCTCTTTTTTCACAAGGGTTTAGGGTTCAGGGTCTGGGAGAACCTCTGATTCTTTGATTCCAGGCTCCTACGGCCAAGAGTCGCTAGAAGAAGGCAGTTGCCTAAAGACTTCTCTGAGGCTCCAGTTAGCTTGCTCAAGTTTAAAGCTACACGGCACACATGCGCTTCACGGTCTGAAGTCAGGATTGGTTGTGAGCTCGCTCGTTTCTCATATCCTCTCTCTGTATGAGGAGCTTCTCAATCTTTCTCTGTTTATTAGTCTTCCCCTCAAGGAGCCTCTGTCTTTCTCTCGCCTTCTCTCCCTTTTTTCTTTCTCTGTCTCCCTGCCTCTCTAGTTTTGCAAGACTAGTGAGCATACTTAAGTGTACCAGGATGCCTGGCAAATGGCGGCACGGAGCACACGTCTCGAAGCCAATGACAAGGCTTCTGAAGCATTTCCCTTAAGCTGGCCTGCGTGCACTGCAATGCAAGTTCTGTCGCCCCGCCCGCATCTACGAAATAAAACCATTCCCGGGAAACCGTCAATGCCGAAACCTCGGAAGCCATTGAGCCCGCAGCTGTACTCCACGCTTTCGGTCTCCAGGCTTCGGCGCTTTGGTCTTCGTCTTACCTCGGGCTTCCGAGTCCACAAGAACTACCGTTGCCACTCTGGGTGGTGGTGGTGGTGGTGGTGGTGGCGATGACAACAGCAGCAGTCGTAGTACCTCGTAGTAGTGGTAGTCGTCGACGTCGCAGTACTCGTAGTAGCCGTTGCTGCTGGTTGCTGCTGCTGATGTTGTTTAGTTGTAGTCGTAGTAGCAGTAGTAGTAGTAGTAGTAGTAGTAGTAGTAGTAGTCGCCGTAGTAGTCGTAGTAGTCGCTGTCGTAGTGGTCGTGGTAGTGGTAGTGGCTGTTGTAGCAGCAGCAGGAGTAGTAGCAGAAGATGCTTGCACCATGGTCTGCAAGGTCGGGCCAAGCGGCGCGTCAGTTTAGATATTATGATTTGACCAAAACGGCACGTCATTCCCCGCCTCACGAAAACAACAACAACAACTACCTAACATAACTCCCAAAACGACCGGTCCCACACCCCGCTTAAACAAGCAAGACGACCAAAACGAACTAAATCGAACCCCCCCCCCCCCCCCCCC